CATTGTTGACTGCATCTGCTGCAATGTCAAAGCAAAATAAGTCAAATCAGACTGCTGGAAAAGCAGTGTTTTCTTACAAGTCAGTATGACACTAAACACCTTCAAGCCAGCTTTGTAGCAATTAGCATCTGCTCTTACAAAGAGAAGCTTCCTCGTGGCAAAGGGACATTGCTATAAAGGCAACACAGGAGTAATTTCTTTTGAGAGTCAAGACTAGCTAGTCCTTGGGCAGAAGAAATAAAATAATAAAATAACAATGGATAAAAATCACTTATCCTATTATTTTGCCTTTATTATCCATCTGGGATAGATATACAAGAGTCAACATAAAAATCAATGAGCATTTTCCTCAGAAGGGTACCTGGATGTCAGGGCATTTTCCAGAATTCAAAAAAACTGTAGTGTCTCAAAGACATGCTTACCACTTCTATTAAGAGTTCCAGCTTGGTTGTTTTAATTAAGACTTCCATTCAGACTTCCACAGATGAAGCCTTTTACTAATCCTGTTGCTCAGTGCCTAACTACACTACCTTACCATCTCTACCAATCAAATGTTAAGTAATTTCAATTACACACTTAACTACTTAAAGTGCAAATAAAAAAGGCATGGGTAATGATATGTATTTCACATGCTGAAGTCTTGCTCTTTCCCAGGGTGTCATAGAATCATGGTTCGGGTTGGAAGGGACCTCAAAAGATCACCTAGTTCCAACCCCCCTGCCATGGGCAGGGACACCTTGCACTAGACCAGGTTGCTCAAAGCCTCGTCCAGCCTGGCCTTGAAGACAGCCAGGGATGGGGCATCCACAGCTCCTCTGGGCAATCTGTTCCAGTGCTTCACCACCCTCTCTGTGAAGAACTTCTTCCTGATATCTAAACTGAATCTCCCTGCTTTCAATTTAAACCCATTACCCCTTGTCCTGTCACTACAGGCCCTTGTAAAAAGTCCCCTCCCAGCTTCCTTGTAGGCCCCCTTCAGGTACTGGAAGGCTGCAATATAAGGCTCCACAGAGCCTTCTCTTTTCCACACTGTGTCAGTCAATTGTCAGCCTTGCCTGGGAGCCACCTCATCACTGGGCAAGATTCTGCTTTTAATGTGCCCCTGCCAGAATTCACAGTACTAAGAAAATAGAAAGGATTCAGTATTTCTGGGTCACTAGGTGCAGCTGACACTGAGGATTACTCGAGGGAAAAAAGAGAGTGAAATTACAGGTAAGGCTTTTTCTTCTAGATCATTTGCAAAATACAAGGCTGGTTAAGTTATGCTTTGAAAAGGTAAGCATTTCTTTCCAAAGAATGAGAACTGATTTTGCTTTGTAAATGCTATGAGTATAGGCACAAGCTCATGGAGAAGCCCTAAGGCACAAAACTAGGCAAAGAACCTGATTAAAAGCAACAACACTAACAATTAATAAATGAGTAACTTTCTCTAATCTGAAACTTTCTATTTTATTTTCTTTACTAAATGAGTTAGATTTTACTGATTGAAAGACAGGTCTCGAAATTTTTAATTCTTTCCCTGTTTAAAAAAACAAACCCAAACAAAACACAAACCCAAAACCAAAACAACAAAAACACCCATGACCAAAACATACCCCCACAAAAACTACACAAAACAAACAACAAACCCTGCCTGAAATTGACCCATAGGACCCTGCCCACTCTCAAAGACTGGAGATAGGCCTGTCACCTCAGAGCAGAGGAACTCCAGGATTTGGTCTCCCTTGCTCCAAGGGTGACTGGGACCCCTTAGTGCTTCTTTGCGAAAAGCAAGAAACCAGAAATCCAAGAGCATAATAATATAGCAGACCTGTCAGCCCCACATCCTGAGCTGCTGTCTGCAGAGCAATGACAGAAGAATTGCAATTGTCTCTCTTCAAACTTCTTTCTCACAAAAGCCCAACCTCTGTAAAGCCCAGCTGAGGTTTTACTGCTGACTTGAACAGCATTGGTGTTCACAGCACTTTCACAGCTGCTTAGATGCAGGCACTCAGTCCCAAATTGGTTATATCAACAGCTCTGAGTTAGGTTTGCAGCCATGTTCCCATGACTATCACTAATGCAGCAAGAAGCTGAATTTTCTGTCTTTCCATGGATCTGGAGGAATTCAGTAGCATGGCTCTTGCATAATAGTGTGCTTGTCCTTCTCTGAGGAAAGGAAGCGCTTACTGGCTGTTTCACCAAGCACTTTTGTAATGCCCTGGGCCATGCCACTGGGGGCTAAACTGTGAAAGGATAAAAGTATCTGCTGTTCTGCTGCCTGGATTTACAATGTGAATAATAGAGGCCTCACTCTCCAGTGTGCAATGCATACTTCTCCCAAACACCCTCATTTGTAAGGTATTTCTACAGCTTAGCTTTCTACTCTCTATGGCTTAGTCAAGTCACAGAACAAAGTTCAGTTTCTCTCTTTGATAATGGACTTTCAGTTAACTACAATGCCGGAAAAAATGGAAGCAGCAACTTAACATTGGATCCCACAAAAATAACTTACTGAGCAAACAATTCTTTATCCCAAAGCCTTTGCCATTCCACACGTGCCAGTCTTGGCTGTTTTCCCTTGATCTATCAGTTTTATCTGTGAGCCTCACAATGAATTTTCCTGGCTCTTTCCATCCTGTCTCAATAACACTCTTCTCAGTTTCAGGTGTATGCATTGCTGGCTGGGCTTTTGGGATCTGCCCTACACACAAAGTCTTGTAATACCAGCAAAAAAATTCAGTCTTTCAATTTTCAGCCTGGTCTAGAAGGATTTGACTCCTCACACAGACAGGAAAGATTACTTCTAAACGGAAGAAGGTGAGAAACAAAGATTATTCTGACCACCAGTATAGGTGGCTCCCAGTAAAAGAAATTTGCTTCTCTCTCAAATGAGCCCTCTTCCTTCTCCTTTTACTTACAGAGATTCTTGGGTCCTTCCCATCACTTCCTTCATTCCCTACCTTCCCCATGGTTCTCCAATCCTTTCTCTTGACCACTCAAAGTGGGTACAGAACCCCACAGTGCCTCAGTGACTAACTACAGCCCCTCAACAAGCACTACAGCTTTCTAATACAGATGCACGTGCTAGAGGTGTCCCTAAAGGAAGGGAGAGGTCTGTTTGCACTATAACATACTTATAAAGCCTGAGTCAGTGTGACAAAATTTTAACCTCCCAACCCCAATGATAAGTGGCATATTATGGACAAAGCATTTAAAAAAAAAAAAAAAAAAATCAAGGTTTAAAAGAGGCAAAATTCCCCTTCACCCCCACGCCCTGAATTTATGTAAAAGTTATTGTGGTACAATTACAAAACTTTAAGTAAGAGGAAATTGTTACATTGACTTCACTGGCAAGAAGCTGAAAAGCAGATTTGGCTCTGGAGGCAGGGGATCTTAGACAAGCTAGAAGAGATTTTACGGACATCCTTCTAAACTTTTGACATCTCCCCACTTCAGTGGGGTCCACTACCTACAGGAACACATGTACATCTCCCCTGTGAACTACAGGTCTAGGGACTAATTTATGTTCTTCCCCCTCCCCCCAATGTTTCAGACCCTGTCCCTCACTTATGAACTTGTTACCCACAAGAATAAATAATGTAGACAGACTTACCTAACGTCCATGCAAAGTAATACTTTGGTTTTGCTGCCTGTGTTACAACATACAGGTAACCAAGTCTTGATAAGAAGGGTGTTTTATAAAGAAATTCATTATCAATAATGTATGCCATAGGAAAATTCTTGGTAAGCGTCAAGAAAAAAATGAGAGATACTAGTGTGATACACAGCTTGTACATCACTGCTCCCTAAAAAACACAAAAAACAATGAAACATTCATTAGAAATATTTGCCTAAGAGAAACAAAAAGTCAGGGCTTATGACATACAAAACCAACATGCTTCAAGAAACCCTAAGTTAGCAGTGACAAAGGTGATAATAAGTAATTTAGAAGAGGTGACAAAGGCCGCAGTCAAAACGCTGGCTTAATTTAGTTTACTGAACTACCTATAGAAAGGTAGAAAGGACAATTACAAGTCAAAATTGCTGATGAACTTCACACGAGACTCCTACATCAATTAATGGAGGTCCAAAAATGAGAAAGAAAAACCCAAAACTCTGCAATGGAAAGCAGAAATCTTCCCCATATGTACTGTTGTCTCCTTGAACTAAGGACTGGGTTCCTCCTGGAAGCTGAAAGCATTGGTATTCAGTACAACAGTAGGTCTTACCGTCCACCTACCATCCATAGGTCTTCCTAAAAATCACTTGTCCAAAAAGCATACATCATATCCTATATCATGGGAAGGTATGCATGCTGTATCTGCTACACCACAGTGTCTCGTATTACAGCTCCCTAGCTCCCTCTATACTATTATTGACAATCATGTCAGTAGTTTGAAGCTTGATTTCAAATATGCACCAGGAATAAACTCTTCTTGATAGAGACACAATTAAAAAGGTAAATCTGGCATGTGGCTACCATGTAACTAAATAAAAGTGCAATACACTATTGAAACAATGACGCATTTTTTGATCCCAAGTACTCTTTTCATACGTTCTCCAATAGACTAATGTGCAATTATATTTACTGCAAATTTAAATATTCTCTGCTGACTTGCATCTAACACAATATGAGCCTTATTATGACCTCAGTCAGACTAACATAAGTCAGAAGTAATACCACTAAAGTCAGTAAAAATAGAGTCCTATGCAACAGGAAGCAGATATGCACAGGCACATACTCAACTTCAAAACAGACATTCTGCACACAATCAAAGCCACACATTCAGTGTCACCTTAAGATGAGAGGAGTCTGGTTGTCATGCTATGTTATCCTGCCTTACACGATGGTCATTTTATAAGGTTTTAAGTGATATTAAAACATATAAAATTAATGTTAAAAGTACGTGAAAAATGGCCTTCATCATCTTAAAGTGTGAGATTCTCTTGCAAAGTACCTGGACAAGCTACAGTTTCTGATAAGCTGTGATTCATGTACTTCTAATATCTGCACTATGGGCGAGATTTGACTTTTTTCCCAACATTTCCTTTTCTGTCTGGAGCTGAACTGCAGCTTGTCACAGTCAGAAACTGTAGACCGTTCTCATCACTGCACAAAAAACACCCATCAACCAATGAACTGTTTTGCAAGCCATACGCATTTGGGGAATTCAAGAGAGAGACACTAGCCCCTTCACCCCTGACCCTGTGATAAAAACAGCAGCCACTTTATAGAAAAAAAACACACCCCACTGTAACATTTACTGGGAAGACAATCTAAAAATGTTTTTTCTTCTTAGTTTTTAATTATGAGAATCATGTACAAAGCTGTACTCTCCTGCCCTTTACAATAAATCTTTGTCATTTCAAAACTTACAGTTGGAGAAGGATCAGGAAGTCTGTCATAACCCTTCTGCTTCCAGTTCACTTCTAACAGTTTCATGTGCACATGCCTCCCTTCAATGAAGGCTATATAATCCTTGTAGTTGCTGCAAGGCCCAGCTATGATGCTCATAAAATTGAGGAGATAGCTTAAATACTCCAGTAAAGAAGGTCTTGTCCTGTGAAAATCATCCACACACAACAAAACAAAACAAACCACCCAAGGTAAAACAAAGACTTTCACGCATGCTTTTTGTTGTACTGTTTTCCTCAGTGCCCAGCTCTCTCCTAGCACCCTCCCCCCAGCTGAAAGCTCCCTAGGTCTATTTTGGAGCAGATGAAGCACAGCCTCTTATATCCCAGCGATGTCTGGCAGATGGCAGTCAGAACAAGGGTAATGCCAAAGTGCTTAAACTAAGGTGAACAAATGCTGCTGATCTGAAAAGTTGTAATCTTGTTTCTAGAAAGTTAGAAACAGTCATAAATGTAAATACTCACTCTCAAACAAATTGACGTGCATATTGGACAGGCCGGTTGCACCAGGAGTGAGAAGCTGGTAACTGCTTTTGGACATCTGACCAGTAATGGCTGCCAGACCACAAGCTAAGTAACACTGGTATCACCAAGCAGTGCAATGCAGTGCTTCGCCTTGTTATGCAAACCGCAGGGCAGGGAGCACTTACAACCAGGACATTCAGACTTGAGAAGGCTCCGCCCACCTTCAGTTCAGCCTTTTGAAAAGTGGGAAGTGTGATGCCAGAGAGAGGAAGAGAATGAAGAGGCACTCTGTCCTACTGTGCAAATAAAGGAAGTAATTGTCTGTATTGCATCATGAACAGGAAAAGGAACTAAGGGAAAAAACCCACATAAATCAAAAGACAGCTGAAGAAGAAAGAGTCCATCGAGTTCGTTATTTCCATTTTGCAAGTGTACATACCACAAGTTCCTTGGCAGTTTTTACATTAGTTATAAAATGAAGAAGATCCACTGTCCTTGCTACACATCAGTAGGACAGAAAACAAAGATGCACAGGCCTCTCACTGCTAGTGTAATTTGTAAATTGTTGTGCTTGCTTTATTTATGTGGCAGAGAACACCAACATCCACATTCTGCATGGAGATACACAGTGGTCTCCATGAATGTGCTAACAGCCACCATCCAAGTAAGCCAGTAGTCCCCCAGATGAGAACAGAAACTACAGCACAGTGTTTCAAGACTTCCCTTCTAAGACACAGATGGACACACATAAACCAAAACCTACTTAAAATTCTTTTAGACCAAAACATACATTTCTAGCACAACAACTAAGCAACAGTTAAACATTTGCTGTTGCCTACTTTTATTCTGAAGCAGAATTAGTTTGAATGAACAGTTAGCTTAGCCAGGATTTTCTGCATTCACCCTGCTGGCTATTGTAGATGTTGGTGCCTGAATGATATGTTCTCTGGTGAAATCATTTCACGGAAAGCAGCAGCAAACAATTTGGTGTAACGTTCATCTTTACTGAAAAATCGGGTCGTAATTTGGGTTTCTGAACTCTACAGTAAGATTAAAAATAAAGTCATTAGTTTCAGCTTACATTCTGCACATGGGTGGGTGGAGAGACATGAGCAATGCACAAAGGAATGTACAGAGGATGGGTGACAAATAAAACCAGACCAAGAACAGAAAGACAAAAGGCTGTATTACCAAAGGGGATTCAAAACCCTTCAGTTATAACTTGTCTGTCACCGGCCCTTGAGCTATTAGCATGTACTTTTCTATTATGAGCTCATCTACTATGCAAGAAAAAAAAAGCCTGCTTGGTGAGAATTTGATTAGAATTAATCATATGGTCACAAGAACTTGGTACGGTTAAACTGTGAGCTTTAAAAATAGACATAAAGCTATGGGTCATGGCAAAAGTTATATGAGTCTCCTTACAGGATTTTTGCTTTCCAACAAACTACTCTATTCTTATTTTTAGAATCTCATAGGCAGATTTTCTGATTGCTGAATTGTCTGCCTTGGAAATGAAATAAAGTATTTCTTTGGCCTTAAACAAATACTTCATGCGGAAAAGTAGTTATGGTTCTAAAACCAATTCTGTAACACTAACTCTTCAAAAAAAAAAAAAAAAAGCACTTGAATTGAGAGACAAAACAAAAAGAGGCACTTGAACATATAACCAACATGCTGTCTCCCTCTGAAAAATGAGATGAGTAGTCACATAACATGAAGGACTAGAGTCCTTCATTACAGAGGAAAATAGGAAAAATAAAATTTCAGTGTCCAAAAGTTACTGGCAAAGAAAAGCAGTACTTGAAATGTAGGGTCAAACCAAAATGGACTTCTACTATGCAGTAGTTTGCTGACAGGAGTATTCTACTTGGAAAAATAACATATCACAGATAGGATGAAGACAACAGCCAAAATGTCCATATAGTACAGTCAGTCTGAATATAAAAGATTTGATTCAGCAAAGGCTAGTTTTGGTGCATGTGGAGTACACATTTAAGTCAATTAGATATTGCCAAGTATTTTACTGCTTTACTAACCAGCACAGGATGATAAATGCAGAAGTCCTGGATTGAAGAAATAAGGAATATAGCAGAGAAGCCATGTTTGTGTAAGGGCACTGACAGCAGCATTACAGAAACAAAAAACTGCTCAAAAGCAAATACAAAAATCAGGTAGGACTTTTGGCTTATCATGGACTGGAAAGACACAGCGAATATTTTCATGGCCAGGCCACTAAGCTGGTTCTGATGATGCAAAGGGAGGAAACAAACAAATACATTAAAAATACCACACACACACACACAAAACAAAACAAAAACCACACACGAATACCCCCAACACTCCTCCCCCTCTCCAAAAAAAACCCCAAACAAAAACCTCCAAGAAACTAACACTAGCAAAAGCTACACCCAAGTCCAAACCCTAAACTTCTTTGGGGGAAATTAAAATGCAAATCACTACGGGAATTAAATTCTTACTTTACAGCAAGCCGATTTTGTTCAGCCGTAAGTTCCTCAGCTTGTCGCCCTATTCCTAGAGAGAAAGAAAAGTCACATTAAATCTTTCCAGAAGCCAAACAGTGAAAGTTGTCCCCAAAGCCTTACATTTGCACCCCACAGATAACTTTCTAATGCCGTAAGCTTCAAGATTTGTCACAGGCAGTTGTAACACAGCTCAAATCCTAACATTTAGGTCAAGTATGTTCATCTTCTACCCTACCTCTTTACCCAGTTCCCCACCTCATTCCCCCTTTCTCACCCTTGCTACACCTTCAGCAAGGGCAGCCATAGCATTTCCACATACACAATGCAAGTCTCAATGCCACCAAATAGCAGTGACCCTCAGCAGCCTCTACTAACAGCCCTGGGCTGTAAAACCCTCTGTTCCCAGGAGCTGCTGGCTCATTTAAGCACAAGCCTCCCCTGCTGGCTCCTTGGTGAGAAATGGAACGTTTCACAGCAGGAGGAGTAGGCAGTGGAAGAGAAACCGGCTTTCAGGAAACAAGCTCTACTGGTGTGAATGAGCAGCCTGGCTGGCTGTTCCTGCTGGAGCAAGCCTAAACACACACATCAGTAATAACTTGGAACTGTACAAGGTCCAGACTGGAAGGGCGACGTCCTGTTGAGTACACAAGACCTTTGGGGCCAGAACTGTAGAGCAGAGGCTCACCGTCCTAGGAAAACTATGGAAAAATCTTGTGCGATGGCCAGCGCGTAAAACAGTGTTGCTCACAGCACATCTCAAAACCTTCACTCTGAAGCTTTGGCTGCGCATACTTTCAGGAATCCCACTGGCTTCAGCAGAACAACTCAACATTAGATGAGTCACAGCACTTGATGCTGAGCGTGCATATCTACAACTTCACAAGATCAGGGGCTTGGCGTCAATTAACACTACTGTTCTAAACATACTGGCCATAATTACCAATACATACACACAAGACCTATTTCCTAAAAAGACTGATGATAAGCTGCTCATTTCCATTCTCTCTCCACTGTTTCATTTTGTAAATACTAGAGGGCGTGAGTTCCTGGGAAACAATTAAGCACTTAATTACTTAAAGGGCTGGGTATTTTGTTTGTCTGTTTCCATTTATGGGCAGCTGCATTAAATTTCTGCAAATAGAGATTTGTCACTGATGCTTGAACTGCAAGCTGCCTCCATGCAACTGCCCCATATACAGATGTTCACAATGTAATAAACCTTTTCCACCATCATTAATCTGTAGGATTTCTGGCTTGCTTAAAATGCTCCTGCCTCTGCTGTTACTTTTTTCTTTCTGTCTGTCTGTTTACCTTCAATATTTTAGGTGTGCATCTAGGTTGCACATCACTACCTAGTTGCACATCAATACCTGAGCTGGCTAGCTTAAATAACAGAAGCAGAGAAGCCCCAACAACATGACTGTCAAGGTCAATTAAACCCACACAGAGCTTCAAGATGCACCCATTATAGCCAGCTAAAAGCACTAAACCCACCTGTGTAAACTTGGCTTGCGAACGATGCCAGACCTTGCAATCTGTGGTCTGACCATCACCTAAATCCCAGATCATATGTCTATAAGCAGACTACTTACTTAGTCACAGCACATTTTATATTCCAATGGGCCTTGGACCATCATAAGTTCACATCGCAACATCAGGAGACATGAGCAATAACAGTACTGATAACAATTAACATTTCTAGCCTTTGCACTGTGCCGGACACAGGCATTTTACTGGGAAATAATAGCGCTCTTTGTCACAGCACAGCATAAGATTGAGGACAATGTTATTTTGCTTGCAAGTGTGCTTCTTTCCAAAGTGGGAAAAAACTACTGATTTCAATCTCCTGCAACTCCTGGGGTATATTATCACTGAATATATCAGTGATAGCATATTTTTGCTACACTGACATTTGTGGCATGAGTGACATTAATATATCAAACATATCTCTTGATTTTGGAAAATCAGGAACAGCTTCAGAGAGCTTAATGGAAATGCACTGTAGCATCTCAACAGCAGATACCAGTACTAGCTAAAAGCCAATTTGGGCCCCAAGGAAGCAGAGCCCTCAGAGAGGAAAACAATTTTCTTTGCAGTAACAATGAGTTTGCTCCTAAAGAAGCGATCAAACCTGAAGTTTCTCTTTTTCCTCCACAAAGCATTTTTCTTCTTTATTTGGAGCAACTCACTGAACTCCGCTCCATATTCAACCACAGAATGCACTGGAATAAAAAAAGCTGTCTTCAGGACATGGGAAGAGATTCCTTTTCTTACCATCATGTAACTGGCATGCAAGTGTTGTGATCTTCTGTGTAATTATCATCAGTGGACTACAACAAAGAAACAACAGTTACATGTATTGTAATACAAATTATTCCCAACTTTCTTATTGAACATCTTTATCCCTTTAAAAGGCATAACTATATTAGCCACAAGTGGAAAACATCCAATTAGAAGGAGGAACTCAGGCATAAGACAATTGTCTAGTTTCAAAACAACCTCACAGTAACTTGCATTGGATTTTTTAATTACTAAGTGCACACAAAGCCTTATTTTATGTCTCCTCATTCTGCAGCAGTGCAAATTGTAATTCAGAAGAAATCACATCACTAGGAAATTCCAGCTTCTGCAGTCTACTGGGCTTCAACTTCCTTTCACACAAAGACCAAATTCAAGCCCTGTACGATACAACACTAGTTTACAGCAATGCCACTGTAATGTAACTCTAGTTCTCCTTACTGTTACTCCCCTATTGCCTGACTCCTCAGTGCCCTAAAAACCCCTGTGAACTCCTTAGATACACATGCTTATTTCCCCACATGAATAGCCCTATTAATTAGGACTACATGAACTACCAGAATAGCTGTTAGCACAGCACTTTCCCACTTACTTCTTGGCCATGCAACTGCCTTGTAGACAGCCTGTCCAAGATATACCATCCAACTGGGAGTGTTTGGGCACATGGAATCTGAGGCCTCCCAAAAACATAAGCTAGCTGTACCTGAGCCACGATTACAGGCTGCAACAATACAGCAGCTTCAGGGCCAACCAAGCAAGCAGTGTAGGAAGAGCCACTATGTTCGTCAGGGCTGCTTATACTACCTGTATCCAGCTTTACAGAGCTTTTTAGCACAGTAGGCAAATATGAGCTGCTTCAGCTAAGGAACAGAAAAAAAGGCAAAACTCAGCTTGGTGGCATGAGTTGCTGGGTGCCCATGAGAGTTGTTGCCCATATAAAGATTCTAAGGGCTGTGGAGACCTAAACACAACCTGGCACTGAACATCTGTAAACTAGAAGGACCCACCACAGGCAAAATAAGGGAAGAACATCTGCAGACACTGCCACTCCCTGACTCTCTGTCACCTGGGACACCAGCACAGGGTGCACAGATCTCACGCTACCTACGAGACCTTCACAACCTTAATAGCCAGGAGGCTGTAATGGGTGATGAGGATAAATAATTATTTTCAAACCATTAACTGTGATGATCATATGTAGAACCAGTTTCACAGAAGAGATTTGTCTTCTCTGAGGATTAAATCAATGTACTGTTTCTCAGTTTGGTGGTAAATTATGAACATAAGCCATACAGAAGTTTCTGCTTGAAAACAAGTGTCTTCCACATGGAAATTAAACCCAAGATTGTGTGCATGCTATTTACAGGGTTTAACTGGTATATGGAACTTTTTAAAGAAATGTAGATGATTACTCCAAATATTATGGCTATTCATTTTCAACACTGTAATATATTTTCTGGAATCCAGCAAGAGAAAAAAAGCCAAAAGCTTTTTTTTTTTTTTAAGTTCAAGCACTTATTTTCCCCACCAATTTCTCAAGAAAAAAGAGCAAAAGTTACATTCAATACCTCCGTCTAAAATAACAGTCAAATACTCATGTTCTGCACAGATGTTCAAGATATTCGGAATAATCCTTGACTGAAATCGACCTATGTTTACAATCAAATGTAAATTCCATGGTTAACATATAGTGGGATAATGAGATTGTAAACAGTTCGATAAATCATACTGATTTTCAAGATAATTAACATGCCAAACACGGCAAACAAGAATACTGGAAGAATACATTCTTTCATCGTAAGTGGTCCACATGTAATTCTGCATGGGTAGGATAATTTGTATTTTCTATCTAGAAAGAGAGAACATGCAATGTCAGCCAATTTCTTAATCAGAAACAATTTTTATCCTTTCATCAGTCTCTACTTGAAATGTCAATAAAAAAGTTTGCACATAAAATCCAGAACAAGCTTAAATATACACAGATCTGGAATACAACCATAACACAAGGATTTGTACAGCAGCTCTTCTTGGGTCACCTAGCCCACTGATTGCAGCCAAGGAATGGGAAAATTCAACAATGAGTTTTCACCTTCCATACAACTCCAATATCGTGAAATAGTCATTCTAATTTTTATTCTATTCACCTTTCAAGAAAAGTAATTTATAAGCTGTTTTCACCATTATCTTCAACATCCTATCCCTCAAAGTACATTTTCCTCTTCAGACAAAATTTAGCTTTACTTTCAAAGATACATAAATCCCAATCCTTTAGGCATACAAAAAAAGCAGATTTTTTAAAATCCTTAAGACAGACAGAGACTGTCAGTGAATCAGCAGTTCTGCTGCAACAAACACAGATTTTTATTTTCTCAGTGACTGACCTTTTAGCTTTATGGGTGACACTAACACTTGTTTCACATTGGTTCAATTTGTTGTGTATGTTACTTACAGCAAACACTTTATTTCAGTATTCAAGTGGGTAACTTAAAATCTCAGGCTCAGAGCCAAGCCCGTATGCCTTTAAGTGCCTAAATTTAGACACTCATATTATAAAATTGGGCCCCTCACTGTAAGCCAGAGAGACACAAAATGCAAACAATCCTGATGCGCTGATTAACCAAGGAAAGCAGAAGTGGAGCCTGCACTAAATCCATACAGTGTATAAACACAGAGAAGAGAGTGGTTCTCTTCATCTATATTAGGAATTCATTGACAGTGCACTGTAGCTCAGCAGAGCAAGTCAGCCTCGCGTGCATTTTTAATCAGAAAAGTCTGCCTCCCTCAAATCACAACTCCAGAGGAGACAAGCAAGCACAAAAGTGACACTACTGGAACTGTGGGTGGGAGGGAAACCCATTAAAAAGTGCACCAGAGATACCTTCGGTTCTCTCTCCCTCATCACTGTATTACACATCTACATCTCTTCTATACGCTGCTTGGGAACGGGGAAGCTTGCTATACAGTGGCAATGGGATGACAACCTCTAAATCTTTCACAAGATGAGGTATTACTAAACACTTCACACAAAGGGTAAGCAAGGTTTCAGGTGAACATGGAGCATCTTCCTTCTCTCTCTCCTGCCTACCACTCCCCCACTGACTTGATCTCACTGTGAGGCCAAGCCTTCACTGCAGGAAAGGGCAGTGCACAACAAAACAATGTCAGTACCAGAGCTCTCCCTTCTTCTGGCACCCCTTTGAGTATGGAGGCCCATCACCTTTCCCTCTCCTCTCCAGGGACGTACCAATCTCTCCTCACCACACACACACAAAGCAAGTCTAAAACTGTTGGGTTTTTTTTTTTTTCCCCGAATGAAAAATAGTCCTTTCTCCATATTTGCAGAGCAATGCATGAGTGTGCAAGTCTGGAGGCAAGATTAAAAATTATATAATAAAAATAGATTTAGAGTAGGAAAATAGTATCATCATTTCCTAAGTACATATGTGAATTTTGATTATTAAAACTTGGCAATATCAGAGTTTTAAACTGTCAGTTCTATTCAGCCTTTCAAGCAACCTCTAATTTTAAAGAGCAAAAAAACACTGAATAAGTTAATAGATAAAATACAGCATCATATCACACAGTCAACTGTTCCTGACATGATAATATTTTAAACCTTAGACTCTACTAAGTCAGTAGTGCTACAAACAAGAGAGGTAGTTAAACAAAAAAAACCCACAAAACCAAAAACCCTATAAACCTTTCAATAACCCTTCTTTCTGCCAAATTTTGAGATGCACAGGTTATTGAAGTGAAGCAAATGATTAGGTTAGATTTAAAAATAAAATCAATCTACTATTTATGCATTTACAGATGAAGCATGAAGACCTACTCCTAGGAAGGAAGCATTTGAAATAAAATGCATTTCAGAAGCCTAAATGACTTGAAGTCCATCCTATTTGAACACCTTCCAGTCACTTTGCAGATACATTCAGAGCTGTGATTCCACATCCTCTCCTCTTCACCTGTCCTAGTAAGCACTAGTTAAAAGCTAGCACAGAAACATATAACTTGTTTTACCTGTGGTGTGACTTTTCCCTCCCTTCTATGTTTTATATATTAACTAAGATTTTAATCTCACTAGTTCAGTTATGCATCCTACACAAAAACTATAGTGGCCAATTTTTAATAGAAAAAAAAATAATTAAGAAATTACCCCCAGAAGTCTGTATGAAATCGGAAACTTCAACAATTAAAAAAACCAAAACCAAAACCTTGTTAGATGCCTGGAAAAATAAGAGCATGACAAAGATGCAACGGTTTACAGAAAATTATGAATAGAGTGTTTTATCCCCCTAATTAAACCTTTCAAATGAAAACATAGCAGTTAAATGTCATTTTTAAATGTGGCTTGTCTCAGTGAAACAAATTGGCCCAAAAGCACAGACCAGTGGAACTAAAGATGTCAGCATCAATTTATAGCTTGGTGTGGGGATCCTCACCGTACCACAGGCATGCTTCTGCATTGAGCAAGCTTCAATGATTATGAGAGAAAAAACATCTACCAAGCAGAGGCTGCCTGACCTTTGGTAATCCCATGGAGGAGTCTGGCACACGCTCGCTAGAAATAGTTTCCACTGACCTGATTTCACTAAGAGAGGAGGTGGAGTCAAAAGACTCCTTGCAGACAAGTGTGCAAACCAGCAAAAATTGACTCAGGTTTATCTCTTTAGCTTTGAAGCCATGATGAGAAGTTCACACAGTCACACTCTGCTATGACATTAAACACGTTGCCAAAAGGATTGCTGAGCCAGAGACACTACAACAACGTCACTATCAGCAGGCTCGGTCTTCTGCTTTCAACAGCAAAATGAAGAAGTACTAAACAACACAGAGGAAAAATACTTCACTAAACATGCTCATGCTTCCAAAGCAACTTCAAATTTGCTTCACGTGGAGGTTTTTTTTGGTGAAAGTTCCCAAAGATCATTCTTACACCTTCATGACAGAAGCCTTTCACTTAAAAGAGTATTTGCTTATGGAGAAATGTCCTGGGACGCCATAGATGCATGGAGCTCTCTATTAGCAACCGCCTGCTTGAATTTTGGCTGCTTTCCACATTGAGGCTCTTGCAGGACTTCTGTGTAACCAGTGGTAAGTGATTTCAGAACAGTTTCCAGTGGACAACGCCCAGCAAAGCAGCTGAGTGGCAAGTGGGCACAGAAAACTGACTAACCCCCCCCTTACTCACCCTGCACATGTGCTGCTGTACAACTTCTGGGGACTTGACAAGACAAGGGGTAATGGTAAATTGAAAGCAAGGAGGTTTAGATTAGATATTGGGAAGAAGTTCTTCATGGAGAGGGTGGTGAGGCACTGGAACAGGTTGCCCAGAGAAGCTGTGGATGCCCCATCCCTGGATGTCTTCAAGGCCAGGCTGGATGAGGCTTTGAGCAACCTGGTCTAGTGGAAGGTGTCCCTGCCCATGGCAGGGGGGGTGGGACTAGATGATCTTTAAGGTCCCTTCCAACCCAAACCATTCTGTGATTCTATGACTTGCTGCTGACCAAAGCTACCCAGAGCTGCTGGAACATACACTGCAACAACATATTGCACTTCATACATTTAAAAGACAAGAAAATAAAAATAATCAATTGAACTTGCAAACCGGTTAGCATTTCTGCATTGTGTTTTACCATGGCAACAGAGAACATCGATGTATGTTTCCATCAGCAAATATATTTCATTTGTAAAAAAAAAAAAGCTTTTCTCCTTTCTTTTGTGGTTGATACTAAGCCACCGAAAAGGGAAAAAACAACAACAAAGCACTAACCACCCATCAAAAATTCACTGCCCGAAGTGGCACGTGTTTCTCGAGTATCTGCTTAGATGGCTTTTCATCAATGACCATCCCTTTCTA